GAATCGTGATTTGTGTCATAAGATTTTATGCGAAGATTTAGGAAAGCAGAAACATCGCTCAGTCACTAACAGATGAAAAGAAAGAGGTAAGACGAAGAATTTCTGCTAAACTATTTGATAGATCAAAACGCGATCCCACATTTGTGTCAAAGATTATTTTGATTTTTTCTTGTTTCCGTGAGTGAAAAAGTGTATGAAAGGAAAGCTTCATCAAGAATACGAATTTGCAAGCATCGCAGTCGAAAATTTCCCTACTTGCTTTCCAAGACATCCAGAAACGTTGGCATTTGTGTATAGATAGCCAAGGGAACTACTTTGATAGTAGCTAGGATCTTCTTCTTCTTCATAAGCTCCACAGCCTCTTACAGGCCAAGTAAGAGGCTGTGGAGCTTATGAACTCGAAGTTTCCTCCACATGACTCTTTTCGGCGCAATAGTCTTCCATCAGTTAACTCCAATTAACCTTAAATCTTGCTAGACATCATATATCTATCTTGTGGATGGTCTTGCTTTTCGTCTTACTCCCTCAATTCTGGGAAAGGTTGTTATTTTGGTTGAAAATGCATCATCATATCTAAACACACGGCCCAGGTATCTGATACGAGATGCCTTTACGATTCTCACACTATCAGTTTCATCGTATTTCCAATATTTTCCATATAGTTCATGATTATAGAGAATCCCCAACATACCATTTTGCTGTACCGGTTCAAAGATCTTTCTCAGGACTTTTCTTTCAAACGTTGATATCAGGTCTTTCTCTGCTCTGTTAAGTATCCAACATTCACTTCCGTAAAAGGCAACATGCCTTATTACAGTTTTATGTAAATTTAGTTTAGTTTTTACGTTGATTAGTTTGGATTTAAATTTTTTAAGGCCTTAGTGACATCTATTAGCCCTAAATATTCAATTCTTTATTTCAAGTTTTATATCATTGCAACTTGTGATTAATGTGCCCAGATATTTAAATTGTTTTACGGTTTCAAAGGTATAACTGTTTATCTTCAACGGGGATAAATCAAAAGTTTTATTAGATGCAATCATACATTTTGTTTTGTCTTCATTAATAAGTAGGCCCATCTTTCTTGCTGCATTTTCAAGGGAGACAAAAGCCTCTACCACAGCTCGTTTTGATCGCCCAATGATATAAATGTCATTGGCGAAAGCCAACATTTGAATGGTTCTGTGTACGATGGTTCCACTCGTGTTTATTCCAGAGTCTCTTATGGGCTTTTCTAAAGCTATATTAAACATCAGGCAAGATAGTAAGTTTTCTTGTCTTAAACCTTCCTCAGTATAAAAAGGTTCTGAAAGATGTGTTGAAATTTTTATTCTACAAATCACTTTTTTTAAGAGTCATCCTTGTAAGGCTTAGCAGTTTCTTCGGCATATTAAATTCTAACATCGTTTCAAGTAGTTTTTCTCTGTTAATACTGTCATAGGCAGCTTTAAAGTCAACGAAAAGGTGTGGTGTCGATGTTATATTCCTTAGTTCTTTCCAGGATTTGTCTAATAGAATGCAATTGATCAGTTGTTGTTTTCCTCTCTGTAATCCACACTGGTAATTCTCAATAACATGAGAAGTATAGGTAAGCAATCGTTTATACAAAATAATGGAGAAGATTTTTATATGCTGAATTCAGTAAGGTAATTCCTGTGTAATTACAACATTCTAGCTTGTCTCCTTTTTTCATAAATAGGACAAATAGATCCTTCTTCCTATTGAGTGGGCATTTGCTCCTGTGTCTATATACAACAAATTAGATAATGGATTGCTTTATTTAAATTCGTTCCATTGATATTTAAAAGCTTCGCCTTGATGCCATTCAGTCCAGTCGATTCGTTATTATTTAACTTTAGCAGCTAGGATCATTACTTGGTAGATGTCCCGTTTGCGTAATGGCAGACCGCACATTGAGTTGAACAGTGTTAAACGAATGTCGCATACTGCGCATGCCCAGAAAACAATTTGCGTAATTACTATGTTGGCGCGATTTGAAAAGAAGATAAATACGGTATATGGTAGAGGTACCGCCATCTGATTGTAAACAAATCTGGCGTTTAAATCTTCGTAGAGTATAATGTAAATGTAAATTAATTACTGTGTTAAAATACTATTTTTTGCTGTACTGCTCAAACAACTAGAGAGCTGAAATTATTGCGGAGTAATGTGAAGCAGTGTTTGCATTCAAAATGTAAAATATAATACCTATGAAATTCTGCACATTCCTTTGGAACTGTACAAATTTTCGTTCAGAAAAAGACTGAAATTTAGGATATTATTAGTTGAAAATTTATTTATTATACTTTTAAGCAATAAAAACAATTCAGGATTTACCATACGTTCCATTCGTCGTACATGCATACATAAAGAAACACTGAGGAATATAACAAGTGCTTGCAAATAACACTGAAGAAATTTTACAATTCCTTAATGCTAGTTATTAAATTCTTTGAAATGGGAAAATAAAAGCGCGAATATACGCTAATAAACTAAGCGAGATACTCCAATTTACAATTACTGAATTATAACATGTAAACAAATTACATTTAAATAACGAATTATTACGAACATATGTTAACAAATATTAATTGCACTGTTATTGACAAATTACAATGAAAGATATATTAGAAAAATAAGCAAGTGCAATCGGTATGGACGTTAAAATAACTAATAAGCTAAGTTGCACAACATTTTACAGTTGTAAACATCCTTCGAACACACTCGACAGCCATGGTGATCACGAATAAGCTAGCGTAGGGTTGCTTAGTCGCCAATATTTCTCCCCGCGCCAAAGGTACACTATCAAGCATGCGCAGTAAGCGAAATTTGCTTAACATTGTTCAACTCAATGTGCGGTCTGCCATTACGCGTCCCGTTTTACCTTCGATATCAGAAGAATTATGATGGAAAATGAGTATACAATCAATTATCCAATGAAAGACATCTCGTCACAACACAAACAGTTTAATATTACGATTCTATTTACAAGTCTAATTACGTGTTAGCTTTAGCTTTGACACCTCAAAGCAATACTCAGAACATAATTGGCATAAAATAATACTCATCACTTTTTAAATACTCATGAAAAACATCTCAAAAAGTCATTATTCTCATTACTTAAAACGAAAAGAAAAAACTATAGAACAAACTCGAAAGCGTAGATGTAAAAACTCAACTGTTGCCAATCGCGATTTACTAAATTACATCAAAATAAAGATAATAATTAAGTAGAGGTTCAACTTCACATCCTCCCACCTAAGTTAATATTTTTACCTCAAAAATTTAACTTACAAAAGAAAATTGTGAATAGTTTATAAGTTACAAAAAGAAAATTATAAGTAGTTCATAAGTCCAGCCTCTTAGGTACTTTGATTGTACGACCTGCTTCAGTCTTTTGAATCTGAGTTTCAAGTCCACACACGTTATCAAAGGAAGAATTTGCACAGGTTTCACCTCCCACCTTCGCGGTTGAAAATTTCTCAATAATGGGATCATCGTTGGAAACTTCAAGTGGATACAATCTTTGAATTGGTCTTAGTCTCCATTAGCTGTTTTAAGCTTGACAATTCTTATAATTCCATCTTTTCCTGGAAGAATCTGAATTATTTTACCTAAGGCCAATTGATTCGCTTGGTGTTATCACTTCCTATCAATACAATATCACCAATATTCACTTTCACAGATTTTTTGTTTCCTGCTTTTTGAATACGTGCTCCTAAATATTCAGACCTAAACCTGTTTCTCAAATCCTTTTGCAAGTTTTCTCTATATTTGAGTCGCTTATTAAGACTTTTATGCCCAATGTCATCAAGATCTGGAACACCACTTATTTGATTATCTTGCAGAAATAGAGATGGACTTAAAGGCATTAAAGTAGCATCACTTTCATTTACATATGTCAATGGGCGGGAATTAATTACTGCTTCACAGTCACAGAGAGTCGTGTTCATTTCGTCAGAAGTTAGCGAAGCTCTTCCTAATACTCGTCTCAGCAATTTCTTAAGAATTCCTATCAATCTCTCCCACCAGCTTCCCCACCAGGAGGCAGTTGGTGGGTTGAACTTCCACTGAATTGGTGGTATAGATGTGTCTTCAGTGATTTGCTTCCAGTTTAAGTCTTGAAGTACATTTGAAGCACCAACAAAATTGGTTCCGTTGTCACAGTATATGATTCTGCTCCGTCTCTACGAGCTATAAATCTTCTAAGAGCTAGTAGAAAACTCTCAGTAGACATCGATTCAACCAACTCTAAATGGACTGCCCTATAAATGGCGCAAGTGAATAAACAACTCCAAGATTTCTTGTTGCCTTTCAGGATTATTGGTCCCGTAAGATCAACTCCACAGATTTCAAATAGAGCTACTTCTCGTAATCTATCTTCTGGAGGAGCCCCAGTACAAGTTTCTAGGTTCTTTGCAGAAAATCTTCTACACACTGTGCATTGATTGATGATAGATCTCACAGTTTTACGAGCATTCAGAATCCAAAATCTCTCTCGTAGAATATTTATTAAAATTTGAGTACCAGCATGTGCATTTTTCTCATGATAGTATCGCACTAGTCTCATGACAAAATCATGAAATCATGATTGGATGGAAGAATAGCTGGCGTTTTAAAGTCTTCTGTATCCTCACGAAAGGTAAGTTTAGTTTTTAGTCTGAGAATTCCACTTTGATCCTTGAATACTCCTAAAGTTCTTAATTTCTCATCCTTTTCATTCACAAAACAATCTTCTTGAAGATTTTGATCAATAACTTCTCAGCCTCAAAAATTTCATCAGAATCAAGGTTTCCATGCTTTCTCACTGTTTTTTCAGTTCGACAATTGGAGGTGAATCTTAGGATCCAGGCAATTAGATTAACTATCCTTTTGTATTGGGAAAAATATCTGTAATACCAGTCTCTCTTGGTAACCAAGTAAGCAGAAAATAAACATTTTGTTACAGAAGAAACTATACTCTTTTTCTTTTCTCTAACAATCTAAGTCTCATCTAAATTTCAGTCACCTTTAGGCAAATCTTCTTCAGGCAAGTAAAGCCAAATTGGACCTAACCACCACTGAGATTTCAATAAGGAGAGAGCCGAACAACCTCTACTCGGAAGATCAGCTGGATTCATGCAACCAGGAATATGTCTCCAAGAATCTTTATTTGTTAGTCTTCTTATTTCCTTCACCCTATTCTGGACAAATACATTCCAGGCTTCTTCCCTCGTTATCCAGGCTAAAACAGTAGAAGAATCAGTCCAGAACTAAACTTCTTCACTCTGTTTTTCAGACAAATTTGAGGACGAAAGGCGAGACGCTGTAGTAGCTGCAAGTAATTCCAATCTCGCGATAGTTGGTGTTCCAGTTGGGTAACTCTACTCCTGGCTTGTATCAGTTGTACTTTAGTAGAATCCAAAGTTTTTATACGAATGAAAGCAGCCACGGCATAAGCATGCTTACTGGCATCACAGAAAATATGTACTGAAGTATTTTCACTCGTACTCCTTGAACCAAAATATCTTGGAAAATGGATCTTTTCCAGATAGTCAATATCTTTCAACCATTTTAAAAATGTAGTTCTCGTACAGGTATCAACTTCTTCATCCCATGTTATCTTCTGCTTCCAAGTTTCTTGAAGCAATAACTTAGGGATAAGGATAACAGGACAATACATACCAAGAGGATCAAACAATCTATGAGCTGTAGATAAGATTAAGCGCTTAGTCACTTTTTCAAAACATAACTCTTTTATACTACCAGTATTTATTCTTAGAGTGTCAGATTTTTTATTCCATATTAAACCGAGCACATTTGTATCAGCAGAAGCATCAGCATTAATATCATTGAACTCCCACCCTCTAAGCTCAAATTTTCTCTCAGCCATTACCTCAGTTGATACACTAATAAAATGATTGAGTTCTTCTTCATTTTTAACACAACTGACACAATTGTCAACATAAAAACTATGCATAAGTTTTTGAATGACACCTTTCGTATATAAGGATTCACCGGTTTCTATTTTCTCTAAAACAGTTTGTAGGTGAAGCTGAATAGTAGAGTTTAGAAGAAAAGGGCTACTTGCTACACCAAAAACTACACGGCAGTGCCTGTACACTTTCAGTTGACCATCACTATCAAGCCATAAGAACCGCAAAAAGTCTCTATCAGTAGGTGAAACACTTATTTGAAGAAAGGCTCTTCGTATATCAGCAATAACACCAATCTTCTTCTTTTCGAAAGCGTGTTAAAATACTCGGAAGCTGTTCTATTAGATTTGGCCTTTTTCTAAGCAGTCATTAAGACTAGGAAATCCTTTACTTTGGGCCGAAGCATCAAATACCGGTCGGAGTTTTGTAGTGCTATTTTTTTGATAACTTCTCGATGAGGAAGGTAAAGAACTTGCCCTTGATAATTTTTATCAGCCTCTTCAATTACTCCCTCTTCTAGCCATTCCTTGAAAACATCTCCATAAGCTTCATAATTGGACTCGATTTTAAGACGTTTAACAGTTTTGTTCAGTCTTCTCTCGGCTAAGTCAAAATAGTCTGTTAGTGGTGGATGATATTCCAACCAGGGCAAATCAACCTCGAAACGATCATCGACTATACGAACTGTATTTAGAAAATGTAACCGAGCAGCTTCTTGCAGTCAGTCAGTCTGGTTTTTCTTGACTGATGGGTCAGTGATCCCAAGTGTGTCCAAAGTCCATAGATCTGTTATGGTCTCCACAGTAGATAACAAGGATGTAAACTAAGAACGATGATGAAAACTCACTTTTCGAAGTATTCGGCATTCGTCCCATAACTGACCATCCAAATTTGGTCTCAATAGCTACGAGACCACAAGGCAACTCACAACGACCCACCTGTCATGAGTTTTCCAGCTACATCAGCCCCAATAAGAATCTCAATAGGATTTTGACAATCATCAATATGACAGCTTATATGTACAGGCTGCTAACTCTTTCAGACAAAGCTTGTTGAGAGTAGGTGGCACTGACTTACAAATAATTTGTTGACTAAGAACTTTAAAGTTGCAATTATAATTCCCATGCACACTCGATAAATATAAAGTGTATACATCATGCTTGCATATCCCTGAGTCCTTCCCTCCAAATAAAGAGTGTTGTAAATATTCACAATTTTGAGGTTCATAGTTCATTTCTTTAGCTGTATTACATGATCGCTGTGAAGCAGTATCGATAATAGCTCTTGCGACGCGTTTTTTCCCATTACTTCTAATTATAACTTTGAATGTTTGAAGCATTACGTGCAGAGTAGAAGATAAATTGGAAAGAGCTTGATCCACTTCAGCACTAATCTCAGTTTTCTTTTCAACTTCAGGTGATTCTTCGTTTTTTTGACATAGTTATTTGGTGCATCTTTCTACACAGAAGAATATGGTGTTTTTTACCACAACACAAGCAACCAGCTTTCAAGTTACAATCCTTGACTGAATGTCCAGATTTCAAACATAAAAAACACTTGTGAGATTGTTGAACCAGTGACTCCCTCTGCCTTAAAGGTATTTTTCTTACTTTTAGACAGTCTCCAGAAAAATGTGAATTAGAACAGAATATACACTGTTTTGATACTTGAGATGAAGTTAGAAGGTCTGTTGCACTAGGTATATTTGAAAACTTTCTACTCTTACATTTGTTCTCTATTACCTTTTTCTCATATGAAAGATTATGTTTTACTTCTGCTTTTGGTTTCGATGTTGTTGAAACTTTGAGAGGCTAAAAAAATGCGTTCTTCAGCTTCGACTTCGGCTTGTAAAAATTCTAAAATGCATTCTAAATCACTTTTCTCAATTATAGTTTTACTTTCGTCTGAATCATCTAAATTCACTTCTCGAATTCTACGATGAGCAGATCTATAGCGCTGCCAAGCAACAAGAGTTTCTTCGGGTAATGATGATTCAACTAGTGGAAAAAGCATTGCAGCATATTTTTCCCTAGTAACACCTAATAATTCAAGTGATCGCAGTTTACTCTCAAGTTGATCGAACAATTTTCTTAATGAATTTTTAGAAGTGTTCTGTTTTTGAAGAACTAATACTAATAAGTCTCTGACATATACCTGAATCAATAGTTTCTCTGCAAGAAGAGGACATTACTGCACTCTTGCCGAAACGCATTTTCAGCTGTTTTAAAGCTTTTTCGTAACTATTACCCCCTGGGGGATAGCTCTTAATTAATTCTTCAGCAGGACTGCCTTTTCCATTGCTTGAGATAAATACGAAAATTTATCGTGAAAATCGATATTAATGTCCTCATCATTTTTTGAAACTGACCCCAAAAGTATAGCCAATTTCGTACACTACCGTCAAAAGTAGGTAATTTTATTTGGGTCAGTGTTCGGCTCGAAACAATGTTTTCTTTTATTTTTATTTATTAATTGAAATTCTCAAACTGCTTTTTCCATTCTTGAGATAAATACGAAATTTATCGTGAAAATCGATATTAATGTCCTCATCAATTTTTGAAACTGACCCAAAAGTATAGCCCAATTTCTTACACTACCGTCAAAAGTAGGTAATTTTATTTTGGGGTAACGTTAACAATGTTCAAATTTTCATAATTGTTCACTCACTAGTGTTTCTAGCTTCTGTTTTAAAGATCTCATCGATCAATACATTTCTGACTCATCTACCGCTTTCTCTATTTCGGTATCGGAAGTATTTTCAGAATACAACAAATGTTTATATTTCTCTTCACATGCTATCATTAATAAAGCTTTCTCTTCAATTAGCTTTAATTTATTAATTTTATCAGCACGATTTAATTTGATTTCTCTTCCTCATCAAAAGTATTACATGCTCGAGTAAACAACCTTCGAAGTTGCTTTCTATCTTTCAAAACAATATCCATAATGCACAAAGAATAAAAGAAAATATAAAAATATTTTTTTCACTCTTAAAAATGCAGCCGTAGTCCTGTCGCGGACGCCAGATGTCCCGATTTAACTTCGATATCAGAAGAGTTATGATGGAAAATGAGTATACAATCAATTATCCAATGAAAGACATCTCGTCACAACACAAACAGTTTAATATTACGATTCTATTTACAAGTCTAATTAAGTGTTAGCTTTAGCTTTGACACCTCAAAGCAATACTCAGAACATAATTGGCATAAAATAATACTCATCAGTTTTTAAATACTCATGAAAAACATCTCAAAAAGTCATTGTTCTCATTACTTAAAACGAAATGAAAAAAAAAACTATAGAACAAACTCGAAAACGTAAATGTAAAAACTCAACTGTTGCCAATCGCGATTTACTAAATTACATAAAAATAAAGATAATAATCAGGTAGAGGTTCAACTTCACAGTAAATGCTATTTTCTATAGTATACGAACTTTGTCCTGGAATTTTTCTGACATGTATATATGTAATTAATACAAATTAAAACACATTTAATCCGTGTTAAATTTAAATTATAATTCCTATAGTTCTTATATTCTTATAGTTACAGCGCTATTAAAATTTATATAGTATGACTATATTCTTATAATCAAGTCTAGTGGGTACCAGTATCGCCAGGGTAACCGGCTTTGTGAACTAATGCCAAAACGCGCAAAACGTAGATCCGTCCGGACAGGTAAGAAAATATAAATTCAGTAGAAGAGGGAAGAGCCTAAAGCATGGCAGGCGTAGAGTCTAATTATAATAGGTGGGCGTGTCAGTTTCAAGTTCCGCTGTGAGCCGCGAATAACTGGCTGCAATGCCAACTGTATTTCGCCTGTCATAAGGGCCAAGGAAGGGTTCTATTACGGGGCTCTTAGGCATGTAGCCTTTATCCCCTCATCATCAAAGAATTATCTTTATCTCCAAAAAGAGGGTTCCGGAAAAAGGTAAATTTAATACCAAAATGTTAAATTAAGAAAAAAAAAAAAAAAAAGAGTAACTGCCTTCTACAGTGAAAAAAGGTAAAAACACTGAAGGACTTAATTTAGTAATTTTGGTGTCGAATAAGGGCCAGAATCAATTTGGAGGGGTTACATTATGAATTTTGAAAAGCATCTATGTTTCCTTGATCAATGATCATGTGGTGTTAACAATACGAGAGCGGAAACACTGGCGAAAACTTCATGTCGCAAGTGCTTCGGGTCTGGGGTAGGGAAAAAGCGGGAACACGTTAGGCGAGTTTGAGTTAAAGAGACACGGCCAGCAATGCCTCTGAGGAGAAACTTTTATAAATATAATAAGATTACATTAACTTTAAGTGTTATGATAACTAAAAAAGCATTAAATTCTTTTAATGAGATTAAGTTTAAATTAAGTAATCCTTGCACTAGAACCCTTTTAAGAAGGGAACAAAGATGTACTTAGAGTCTGGTAACAACGGCTTACGGTTGAAAGAAGTAAGATTGCCCGATTACGGAACAAAGAGAGAGTGACCATGAGAGAAGCGGAAAGGTCAGCGAATTCACTCAAGCGGGGGGATGCGAACGAGTGTATTGAACTCTTCGAGGCGCCTCGTCTCCATAGCAACGCCTCTTGGGAAAAGGAAGCGCATTATATGCGTTCTCCAGAGTAGCTCTGGGTCTCTTTTTTTGGCGATGCAATTCCCGGATGATAAACAGGGAGACTGTGGAGTACGGGGTTTCCGATCGAAGGAATCTTTTGTAAAAAGTTAGCCAAAAGTCGCTGTATAAAACGATTTATTGGGAGAATTTTGGCTGCATTATGAAATTATCGTCGTAAAACAAAGGAGCTTTATAATTTTCCGTAGATATATTCTGAAAAGTTTGGAATGTGTATGTTAGTAATTGCTGCTGCGCCCCCATACCGAGCTAGCATATGTCAGAATTGGCCTTATCATTGATTTATAGAGCAAAATCCTGTTTTTCGTGGACAGGTCGCTATTTCTAGTGAAAAAAAGGCAGCAATTGGGTTTTGACTATTAAAGTATGTTAATAAAAATAATAATAATATAATATATAGGGGCGAATTCAAGTGCAACGCTCTGATAAATTGCAAATGTTAGCTCGCAAGAGGCGTTCCTGCTATCGGCTGCTAAGTCGAATTCAAGTGCAACGCTTTACCGCTCTGGTAACTGATGACGTCAAAATTGCAATGGGGAGCTGGTTTGCTCTCGTGCCAGGAGAGCTTATCCGATAAACTACTCAATATCCCAATGAGACTGCGTGTCGATGTTGTAAAAAAAAAACATCAGTTCCCATGATTTCTCTGAGCTTATGGTCAAGTTTTACTGCGTTGTAGTGTGGTTGTGGTGTAACGAATTGTTCCAGTCCTGAAAACGAAAGAAAGAAATATATTTCTTTTAATGTGTACAACTTTATTTATTTTATCCCATAGAAAAATTCTCCTCCAAAGTAATCTACAGCAACAGGTGTGTGTAAAATATATTTTACTTTTCAGACAAAAAATCCTTGCTTTTTCAAAATATAAACCACATTTTTTTCCCATTTTCAAATTACAGCATTTGGTTTTAATTCTTCTAATAGTAAGTTTAATTTAAAATTCAAATTTGTGTTATATTTTTATTGTTTAATGCAGATGCATGATTCTTCAGTGACAGTAGGCATGTTTACCATATGAAAATTAACTAGTTCTTGAATTATATAGTAATTAATAAGCCCATCTATCTACAAGCAGATAAGCCTGCTGAACACACCGCTATCCCAGTCTCTCTTTAAATCCAGGTGAAAAAGCTGGCTGCATGAGTGTTTTCTTCATTTTTTTCAATGTATAACATGAATACTAAGTTTTCCTTAGTCTTCCACGCAGGCATTCCTTCCCTTAGACATTCATTATGTGATGAAACAGTTAAGAGCAAGAATTTTTAAGATTTATATTGTACATCGTTGGAAAATATATAAAAATGAAATTAAAGGTATTTCAATGTAATACAATAAATAAAAATTATTATGAAACCCTGAATTGTAGTAAGTGCTTATTCTAATGTGATATTAATGTAATATATACATCCAGAGTAAAGGTTAATTTTAATTTATAAATTATGCTTTGTGTTCTGCTCATTATATTGTGCATTTACAGTACACTTTCTGCTTCTTAAGTGAAAGTTTGGACCCATTCTCATTTGATATCAGTTATGTTCAGATTTATTTATTTCATAAAATTTCAAAAAAAACAATTTTTGGCTATTAAAAGCTACAAGTGCAGAAACAAAAGCTTAATTCTTTACTGTAACTGTGTCATGCTTCTCTGCTGATAATGAAAGTCGTCTTTTAATAAGATTTCTTTCATTGCATATATTAATTTATATCTTTTACCATACTGGTTGCCATCTTTCATTGTGCATTCTTCAATATTTTTTGGTACTTAACGTATTAACACAAACACCTGGATCAGTTTGGTGGTCTTTATAAATGAAAAGAGAAAAATACTTATCAGGAGAAGTACGTTGTTTTGCAGCTTGCTTTTAGCATAACCAAACTATCAATATTTATCTAAGTTGGCAAAATGTTATCAACATATCAAAGGAAAAAGCATTTAACAAATTTTAAAATACTAATTTGAATTATTAAATAAAAATATGTGATAGTTTAAAAAAAATATATTTTCCACAAATTTTTTGTCTAAATTTTGAGCCACTTGTGCCAAGTGATCTGTTTTCACTTCAAAAAAAAAAAAAAAAAAAATCAGAGAATTACATAAAAACTTGATACTGCATGCCTTGTCTATGTACCAAATTCATCTCATAGTTGTTTCCATTAGAAATTTTTGTACTAAAATGTTCTATTCTGCAGAACTTTTAACACAGCTTCGTCTTTTGATGGTAAGCTCCACAAGCAGTATTTTAAATCTGAAATTAATCTAAAACAACTATTCGTATCTAAAATCCATTGGAACTTGAAATACAACATAAGAAACACATATGAAAAATGGTGACATTGCTTGAATGAAAAAATTGTCATGAGCATTTTACCTGAAAAATTTTGATACATAATCGTTGTCAGAGTTTGACACATTTTTTGAAAATTTGGTAACTTTTATTAAGCTGGTTTCAATAATATGCAAATATCTTTTATTCTTATGATTGCTTCATTGTATACTTTTCCCTTTCCCTAGAGTGGCAGTACAATACCACAAGTTTTCCAGCCAAATGCGGTATGCATTTCAAGTTTCTATACATTTATATAAATTTTAAGAGAGTAAAATATTGAAAAAAACTGCATTAAGTTTCAACTCTTGTTTTGTTTTTCATTAAAAATTTGCTACCATTAAGTATAA